TTAGATAAATCTATAAATGTAGTAGCTTGACTTTCTTAGCAAACACGAAGATTGGTTGTGGCCTGATCCCTGCTAGGCAAAAGATCAATAGAGCAAACATTGTCCAAACTCTTGAGAAAGCACCTTACACAACCTGGGATGTACCTCCTTTTTCAATTTCATCTTCCTGTTCTTCTGGTTTATCCCTCAATTATTGCGCACCAGAAAGTGCACCAAAGTATTTCTTGGGAAGCAGCTTAAATGTCTCTTGTAGGCTCTTTTCCTCGACGCTGTGTGCATCATTCATAAAGATTTTGATCTTATCGGCCTTAAACTTTGACGAGGCATTGCCTTTTTCCACGATAGTCAGTAGCCGGTCTGTGTATTACATGAATTTATGGTTTATTTTACCATGGATGATTGAATGGAACCAGATCATATTGTGGTTCAGTATATATATAGAAGTGATTATTCAATTAATTGGCTTGGTGAATAGGATGATCGATTTTGGATCACATTTTTTTCTAGTTTCATAGTTATGTATAAATAAAAGGCTCCTCATTCTACTCCATCCCTCCAACCCATCGCCTTAAATCTCTTTCCTATCTAAGATCAAGATGATAGTCAGCATTACAAGCAAGGACCAAAAGCATTTAAAATTGCCATAACAAGAAAGGTGTATCTATCCTCCTGCTGACTTTTACGGAGTGACAAAATTCTGTTTAGAGGGAATTCTTTGGAGTGCTATTTTTAACAGGATTCCTGCAGCTGTTTTTAAGTTTGAGCCAGAGTTCTGCAGCTGTTTCTCTGGCACGTGGACAATGTTTCCAGATTGTTGTATTTTGAGCATAATAAACCAGTATTTCTGCAAGACAACAGAACTGACTCATTAAGCATTAGAAGGTTGAATCCAGAGTTTGGAAGAAAACCATAAAAATCATTGGGACACATTAGATTGTGATTGAAGTCCAATTGATTACACTTGATCTACTCAGAAACATAAAATATGGACAGAGTCCATTCTTTTACACTTGTAAAGTAATAGTTAACATCAAATTATGCAATTAATTATTTATTTGGCCTTTTAGCACAGTTGTGGATTCACATACTAGCATTTTAATTCTTAATTCCTTGCCAAGCATGTTCACTTACTATGATAGTGTCCTTTGGTTTGCTGTCTTAGAAATCAAATTTAACTGTTCTTAGAAGCCCATGTTAAGACTGTATTTCTGTAAGTAAATCATTATAAATCATACATTTATAATAATTAAAATACTTAGACATTAAAACAGAATGCAAATTCAATCCAATGTTTCATAGTGGGGTGATTGTGATTAAAACATAAACAACGTGATTTGTTACATAATTCCAGCAGATACATGGTTTTTGAAGAGCGCTGCCAGCTGCTACTTTATCTACTGAGAATTGCTTGAATTTTATTTCTTTGTACTAATTTAGATTTGTTAGGTTGTAACAATTAATGCTATGTTCCTTGCAAAGCTAGCCTGGGAAATATTCAAAGGAGACTGAAATGATAGGTGAGCAAGTTCTTCCAATCTTTCCTAAAATGTTAACGTATCTCCTTATCTAAAGATAATTTATCTCATCAAGATAATATATCTTATCTAAAAATCAATTTCTATATTCTTAAATGTTCTGGATTTAATAGGCTATTGGATGCAGAATTTCTTATTCTTCACATGTGTTCTAACAACCAAAGTCCCACCTTAAAAAGCAAAGAAGGAAAAACATAATCTCAGCATATGCCTCCCAATTAAGAACACTGAGCTCTATGAACTTTTGAGGTAGACTGTTTTCTACTGTTATCTAAGGCAGTGTTTTTCAACCTTTTTTGTGCAAAGGCACACTTTTTTCATGAAAAAAATC